ATATCACGTGATGAACAGTTTCTTCAGTCTCGAGTGATGCTGAATATTCACTAATAAGATGATATTGTGTCGGCTAATGCGCTTTCTKTCACAACAAATTTCTTATAGGGAAGATTTTGTTGACTTAAAATGAAATGAACCCTTTTAGATGTCTCGTACACAAYCACCTGATACTAAATAAGATGTTTTATAGAAAAGCAGAARAAATCAGCTACAGGCATTAWGATGGCTATSAAATATCCTGAAAAATTAAGTTGTTTTTCAACACAACATCCTGATAATRTAAGTTCATGATTRCAACCAAAACTCATTATCAGTTTGCTGGTTGTTTTGAACGGTTTTCTTGTCATGTATGATGCATAAGGTCGGTTCTTTTGATTGAGACGGCAAACGCAATGCCCAATGGCAATAACTTGGTTAATTCATTAATAGACTGAATATTTGGTTCAAATATTTATCAACAACAGAGCCAGGGATAATTATAGCTGACTTCAAACAAGCTGAGTGATATTCGGCAAACTGAGACAATCTAAAACGCGCACATCACTCGGGGCCGTGACTTATTAGTCGKTGCAGTAGCGTGTGAATAAAATGCACTGTCGGGATTACAAGCCTAATGGTTTACTTTCTTAGAAAGCCTCAGATACACGCGCGCTTTATCAGCAATGGTGATAAGTTGCCTTCATACAAACCATTGTATATGATACACGCAAACTAAGATAAAAACCACTAAACACAGTGGCTGTAAATCATTATTAGGCGGTCAAGCTGGGAAGCCTTATTTTATAAGCGCAATAGTTCACTTTCCCAGCACGAGACATAAATCACATGTCATGATATATAATCAATATAAAACATAATACCAAGGCCAGTGATATGTTATAAAACATAATACCAAGGCCAGTGATATGTTATAAAACATAATACCAAGGACAGTGGGCGTTTGTGGAGTATGTCCTACCAAAATACAAGTACGAACCGTTATCGTCTACACTAAAAATTTGCGCGGGAATCTGCCCAAAAATAGCGCGCAAATGTTGGTGAAAAGCTCGAGGCAGCTGAATTAATGAGCGCTGCTTCTGAATTCTCACGCTTCTCGATGGAGCAGTGTTCAAGGGAATAACTGTTACTTACAATGCAAATTACACCAATGAGCTATMTTACACAAAGGCCGCACGGAAACAGATCCCATCTACATTTGTTAAGGGTTAGTTTTACCCCGAGATCATTTGATTGTCAAATTTCGCCAGCGAGTAAACACATTTGCTTAGTTCGGCATGATACGAATAATCTAGATAGTTTAAGGATAAGATGTCTTTGATCATATGAATAGCAGTCAAACAACCAACGGGACGGCGTTTTTGATTCAAGTGCCGTGTAGAATCTATAATTTCTCTTTCATGTCCCGTCAAAATGAAGTTTTTAAAGTATTCCTTTGTGCATTGGTCGTCTGAAGTAGTTCTCTAAGTAATTTGCTTTGGAGATTAAGAGGGCTTGAGGGGGMTGTTCAATTACGAGTACATACGAGTAGAGCCTAGAGATAGTCGATGATTACTAACGCAGGGTATGACGGGTAGAGAATAAAGACGAGCGTGATTTTTTATGTTTATAGCATTACTACTGATTACCGGAAAAACAAGTAAAATCAATCTCTAGGAAATTACCTCAGTTGAGTTCGGTGTCTAAATAACAAACTATCCACCCACATTCGTGATTAGCACAAGGAATCAATCATGCGACCATATTGGCTGATAAGACRCSCATCATAGATGCCGCAGACTTCTAGCTCGTTATATGGTTTTTAAACTACGATAAGAAGCTTATGTTAAACGCTTAAAACTTACGCAGCGTTTGACCTAGCGTGTTTTAAATCCAAAGAGGTAAGGTTTGTTTAATTCTATTAGAGTCTTTATAGTGAGTATTAGTCGATTGTCTTGATAGCTACCTGAGAGACAACATGATGTTTTCAGTGTGTTGGATGAGTTTGTTCGTTGAGATAAGAAAACACCATAAAACCTGTAATTGCASAAGAGATTACTCACTTATGTATGTTTAAAGTGTTAATCTGTATAAATAGTGGACAAGCAAAAGCCGCTAAGCATTAATGCGCCGGACAAGAGATTGCTATAAATATGTGATATCGATATGAACATCAGATTTGTTAAATCTGATTGCAAATGGGTCATGTTGTAATTAGTCTCTTGTACAAAATGTAAATGTCCCTTAGTAAGAAAACAAACACTTGACTTCACAATCAAATGAATCTTTTCATGGATAATTTCTTTTACCCGAACAAACACTTCAACTTTAGAATCCAGGGCTGTGTTTAGGTTGCTTGGTTACATCCAATGTGGATTAACGGTTTGCCTGTCATTCAATAATGCAAGGTTATAAATGTTGCATTGTATTACTTTCCAATAAAAGTCTTGCTCATCTAATTAACAGGGGCCAACATTAATTAGAAACTTACAAACTAGTACAACATCAAAAACAGGAAATGAATAAAACATTAAAAAGAAAACATAAATTACTTTTACTAAAGTTGGAGTGTTTCGGAGTTGACATGACATAAGAGTCGACGTCACAACCAATACAACATCGTAATGAGTGCACGTTTGTCGTTTACGTAGGACTTTTGCTGTGACAAGACATGTCAAGCTGTTCATGGTCCATACATGCATACAGCCACTTGACGAAGTAAGTACCTAACCTAGATTCGCGATGATAGGTTGGTAAAGTCATTTATACTCTACAAGTAACACTACATAAGCTCTTTTCTCAAGTTAACTCAGAGGACATCACTATGAATAACACGACATTGAACACAGAAGGCCATTCGATAAGCTTCAGGAATTATATCAATTCTGCCATCTATATTGCTGTCTTTCTCTTCGGTTCCACTGGAAACATATTCGTACTGTTGATTGTTAAAAGAAAACGTATTCGTCGCTTCAACGATGTATTTATCGTCAATCTCGCAGTGGCAGATTTATGTATGATTCTCTTCTTCATTCCTCCTTACACGTACAAAGAACTGAGTGATTTTAGAGGTTCCAAATTCTTCTGCAAAAGTGTTTGGTCTTTAATAACGGTTTCGTTTTGTTGTAGTATATTCACGATAACTACAATGGCTGTGTACAGATGTAGAGTTATCGTGCACCCATTTGAACCTCCTATACGCAAACGACAGCTCATTCCTTTAATTACCGGGATTTGGCTGTCGTCCATTATCCTCGCCTTCCCATTGATGCTTCTCGGAACGTACGAAGCTGGCAATGCAAACTGTAGTGAAAATTGGCCGTCTGAGACACATCAGCGGGTTTATACTTCAATATTAATGGTCCTACAGTATTTTCTACCATTGCTTATCATTGCAATAGCTTATGTCCTTATTGCAATCGACTTGACGCGCTCAAAAGCCCAACCAACGGGCGATAATACTCATATTATGGGACAAGCAAGGCGAGAGGAAAACATTCGTGTAATTAAGGTCCTAGCAACCATCATTCTTGCATTTGCTATCTGTATGCTACCGGGACACATAGCTTGGATGCTTTTACACTTTGGCGGGAAAAGAGAAAAAGCGGCGGCTGGCTATATATTTTATTTTTCTGATCATCTGGCGATTATACATACTTGCTTAAACCCGATCATATATGGCACGCTAACAAAGCGGTTTCGTCAAGGCTACGTCAAGTATTTATCTTATATTTTCTGCTGTAGTTATTACAATCGCAAGAAGAGTCATTCCGTGCGGAGAAACGGCGCGACATCGGAAATGCGAACCTTTGGGTCGCTAAAAGATGAAGGAGAAGACGATGAAAAGTAAATCCATTTGAGATCTACAGAGGATTAATTATATTCCTCTTTTTCGGGGTGTTTTGTTGACATTTCATGTTAGTTCTCAGCTGTTTGCTAGAAGTCGCCATTTTCAAAATAAGACATCACTCTAACACAATAAAACGGGCCCTTTCAGCCTTAGCAAAGCGTAAATAACATTAAGGATAGCCGGCGGGTAATACTTCCATGAAATTACAACCAAAATAGCGATTGTACCTTACATCAGTCAGATTGTGACTGCATTTGGAAATATTGAAACGATTATTTGACTGTCAGAACCGTCACGGAATTCTACCCGCTCAGCAAACTTCCTTACTAAAGAGAATTTTTAATCCTCTTTGTGATATCGACAGTCGATTTTTGTTTGGAGATCGAAAAACACGTAATTATTGACCATGGGATTCAGAGGGTCTATTTTCAAAGATACTGAGAAATTGATGACAAATGAAAGGGGAAATCGGTTCATGGAAAATACATAATGATTACAATCGAGGCTGAAAAGAGTTTATAAGACACAAAATTGACAGAAAATCCTGTCACTTGATGTGAAATAAACAAATAAACGTAAAGGAAGAATACTATTATTATAGTTGGAATAGAATTGAATTACAAGAGCTGATTTTACCCTAAAAAAATCACTGAAAAAAATAGAAATGAAAACAAAATAACGCGTAAATGAAACTAGATAAATAATAAAGTGAGAATGAAGACAGCTAATGTGTGAAAGAGAAAGAAGTGAATTTTAAAGAAAGAACAAGGAAAATGAATGGCGGAAAGGAAACATCTTGATTCAGACGGTYAAATTTAATTTACGCGCGGCATCGATAGAATCTCTTGTGCGAGTCTATTAGGCTACTATGTRGCTAAATTGTTGTACAGTGACATGCCGTTCGTTCGCGTTATCACACGTTAAGCCACTCAAAACAAACAATTTGATTTCCACGACTTGCAAATCTTGATCCTAGAAAGGCAAGGACTACACAGCACGATAAAACAGATGGAACAATAGCTATAGGCAGMCTACATAGTTCTATCTTATCATCAAGCAGAGGATTATCTATCATCGCAAGCGTATTGACCGAAGGCTTATGGTATTCTTGGGWAAAAGCACTTTAAAGTGCTCCAGCTCTTCTGCTGAATCTCAAGCCTTTTCTTCCGAGACCTTAACGCTAAAAACGACAAGCATTTTATTATCCTTAGCTAGACAACTTGATTTTCATGCGTTAAAAAAAMSRWTTWAMMAWTT